CTAAAATTGTCGAGGCTTACACTGATCTACAGACCATCTTTCCAATTCAGCTTCCGAATACACTGATTGTCTGGATAATTTTAACATGCACGAAATATTCGAAATTCGTTGGCCACCGAATTTAGGTAATTAAATATAAAAAATTAAAATAATTTTGGGCGTAATACATTTCACCGCGTTTTAATATTTTTGGCTAAAATGTTTAAGCCTCTTTCATACAAAACAAAAACAACCACCGCTTCTTTTATTACTTTTGCCTTCTTTACTCGTATCAGTCACTGGACTTCCTATTGCTTATAAGCTCCGTTAGCTAATAGATATTGAAATAACGGCAATTTTAGGTTATTTATGCCCGACTTGAAGAATTATTATTGTTATAGTTAGTGACAAGCATTTCCTTTATCTTTTGCCTAAACTATCTTATGCTATCTCTACCTAAGACAACAAAATCAAAACTTTCTTCGTATTCACCTGCATATGAGAGGCGGAGGCAGTAGTAAACAAATCCTAGTAGTAAATATAGGATCACTTTAATCGTCTAGGATACCACATCCATTGTTACACAGACATTCGGAATACTCCTTTGCTGCTACCGTTGCTATGCCAAATCCTCAGGTTTGAAAATTTGGTCACATATCTTACAAAATTTTCTCAATTTTCTTGCCATATGTGAATTATGCGGACTTGTTGCTCCTCCATCTTGCGCCAAAGAAACCCTCGTAGACTGATAAAGCTTTTCGACTTTAAGGAGTGACATTATAGTTGGAGGCAACATTGGTCACTTGAGATGGTTGATGGTGGTCAGTGGGCAGTTGGGGGTGATATTCGCTGAGGCATGGACTGAAGGGGATTTGAAATGTAGTCAGTCTTACCTGGCACTTCCTGTGTTAATTCATAGTCCGGAACCCCATCTATGATTGCGATTTTTCAAAGAATTTACAACGAGTTTGCACTTTCTGCACAAATATGAAGTTTGATTAAAATAGTTTGCTTTTAAGTGTTTAAGCATTTGATTTGTTATTTTACTTTAGTATGGTGAAAGTGAAATGTGTTTTACCGAAAAGAGTTAATTTTTTGCATGGCAGTAGAATCCGCAGTCAACTCAGAAATTTTTAGAAATCAAGATCGTTTGGCCGCTGACAAAATAACTCAGATAATTCATCTCCATTGCATCTATTTTCTTTTAAAACATTTTAAATTTTTTTTATTTTTTTAAACTTTTTTTTAATTTTTGATTTTCACGACAGTTAAATTTTTTTAACTGTCGTGAAAATTTGAACCAAAGCAAAACTGCTACGCGGCATTTTATGGGGATTTTTCTTTTCTTTGCGAGTGGTGCTGACTAGGAAATAAACGACCGCTAAGGTGGCTTTGAAAAAATGGTGTACATACATTGAACAAGCCATAGTTATTCACTGGATGGTATTCAGCCCAGGACTGAAGGGTCTGACGTAGCTGCACATATGTAATTATCCTAATAATATCCTAAATTGGGATACCCACGCTGATTGCCTACGTGATTTGGTGGTTTTATATTAAGATAAACTAAATTTGCATTTCATTTCAAAGCAGCCTAGTTAATTTCACATTTTTTATAGGATTTAGTAACAGAAAACGCGAAGCACCAGCTTGTTGAGCGCAGGAAATCGTATGTTTCAAGTCCACTACTACAAAAAGATCCAAAAACAGGCACCTGGAAATACGTTACGAAATTACAAATACCGGAAACCGACGAGAATTACGGCGAAAAACAGGAAACTGAGAAAGATTCTTTACCTGTGATGGACGATGTTCGTTTTCTCCGCTTTGTTGATACTCAAAATTTTTAAAATATTTTATAAATTTTAATGTTTTCTTTTTTTTTTTGCCTCGAGGAACAGTGACAGTTTTCTGTTGCTCTTCTGCCTAAGAAGTAACTGTGATATTCAGGCAATGATATGCGGATTTCGTCGCTAGTTTTTTCCACTAGGGCGCTCGGTTGCTTTTGTAACTAGTGGCTTTTTAGGATTGAACTTGCCTGAGTACCGAATTAAACGACTTCTTCAGTCCTCGGGTCTTCATCCTTGCAGAAGAATTTGAAATTCAGAAATTCACTCTTCATCCTTGCAGGAAAATTTGAAATTCAAAAATTTGATTCAAGTTCGGAAAACTCTTTCGTCCATCAAAAAAGTTTAAAAATTTATTCAAAAAATTGAAATACAAATTCAAGAAATTCAAAAAAATTCAAAAATATTCTTTATTTTTTGCCTTCCGCCTTTAGAAAAATTTGAGATTTTTATCTGATTATTACGTATAATGCTTTACAACTGTATCATATTTCGCTCTGTTTTTCTCAGTAAAAAATTGGCCGGAAGGAGAGCTCGAATTTTCGTGTGCTCCGAACAAAACTTCGTCGGTTTTTCATAAAGAATGTGTTTTAAGCTAAATAGCCTCCTCCCACTCCCTCAGTTCCTCCTCCTCCTTAGTTCGTTGTTTCTTTTTGAAGCTTTTCAACACTACAGGCATACATTTCTGGAGACGTTTTTTTAAAGCTGTACAGATTTTGCACTTTTTCGACAGAATCCTGTGCCGCATTTTTCACTTTTCTTCCTGCAGTTCAGATTATTTTGGCGAATACTGACAGTGGAACAAAGCAGCACCGTTTGCATCTCCTACGTCCCTCCTATTTTGCACATTTTTGCTTGGAATACTTGAATCGGTTGCATTTCATTGCCTGGCTGTGCAACTACGTAGCCGGAAGCTTTTCCAGCTGCTTTGGCCAATGTTGCGTCGTCTGGTTGTCAACCCGCTAGCGATCCTAACGATTGCTAGATTCTATAAAACCAAAAAATTTTGGTCTTTTTTGGATATTTTTTGCCGTCATGTACTAAGAAACGAAATTTCGACGAATTTTCGAAAATAATTTTTCCCTTCAGAATTACACTGGTTTCGTTATTCCGAAGTTGCATGCCCATTTCTTTATTTCAGTTAGACTCGGATCTGTACGACCGGGTCAGCTATCTGGATCTGATGTCTCAATATGAAGAAAAAGAACGACTGAGGAAAATGGAAGATGTTGAGAATTATCGTCGTCTAAGAGAAGAGTAATGTTTCATTCAGCTCATTTGCTTCTGTGTTATTTACTCTAGTATATGAATGCATGAGCTTCAATCTGACCGTGAATTATGAGCACAATTATCAGAATTATTTGAAAGTTATGAGCAAAATTATCAGAATTATTTGAAAGTTCAACGGAGTCTGGCTAGAATAGTGGAATCTGGAAGCAAACGTGGCTTAGAGACGCTGCAAATTAAAGACAAGGATCAAGAACACCGGAGAATCCGCAAAATCACAGGGATTTCTGGGGCAGTAAAAGCAATGCGTAATTATTGGCAGATTTGTAATATGCAGACAGCAAAGATAGAAATAAGAATTGGATGATGATGGTGATGACGATCATAATAATTATAATAATGATAATAACAATAATAATGACAATAGTAATAATAATGA